TATAATGGAGACGCAAATGTTACTTGCAGTGCTGCTGAATTAGCTATGCCTCATCACCTTTAACAACTAATGGGAAGAAAAACGTCCTGTATTGAGGGCTGAACCCGGACACAAATGGCTCTTTCTTTGGGATCCCTTCCTTTTAAAAACTCAAGCGCACAATCAAAACTTCTGTTATAGTAACTGTCAAATAGCCTAAGGTGGTGTTGCATTATTCACTTGCTAAATATTTCATTCCTCTGTACCTTTATGTCAAAGAATTGTTGTGAACATTCTTTGAGCTATAAATAATGAGCTGAATGTGGAATACTTTTGGCTATTTGCTTTATTCATCCACATTGAGATCTTGAGGATCAATGATTTGATTACTGCTAACAATTATTTTGTTGATTCAGATGACTTTCCAGAAGATGTTTGTGTGCATAACGATAGATAAACCCCCAAAAAGCTCTTTTCTAGACTGCCAGGAAATCAGGATGGTGTCAGGAAAAAGCTGAATGTGCATTTCGTTTCTAGTTCATAGGTATTCGAATGAAGATTAGGAGAATCACGAAGCGTGGTGGATTTAAGCTTACTGACTGTACACATTCTTCACTGATTTTCTAAGATGAGGAGTATCCTCAGATTTTCTCTGAGGGGGAAATCAAAGAGCAGCAGTAAAAATCGTGCCAGCGCTGACAAGAATAACCAGAGGAAGGATCCTCTTGTAAGCAGGATATACTGTAAGTGTACTGTTGTGATTCTGCAGCGTTTAGATCCACTAGGCTCAGCTTTACTCCACCCTGTAGCGTCGGTTCTGGTTCTGCCTACTTCATACTTATGCAGACTTTCAGCTGTGAAGACAAAAAATAAAAGAGCTGTTGATATGTTGTATGTAAGACAGTAATTTCTCTTGTAAAATTAATTCTCTTGAAAAATACTTTTATATTAAAGAGGAGTGCAAGTTTTTTGTAGAAAGAAATTGACCTTATACTGCGATGCGGAGTGTGCTTGTTTTTTTCGATTGTTTTTAAACTTCCAATTCCGTCGCCTATAGAAGAAATGACCAGGAATAATAAACACCAGAAAACGGTGAAAGTGCTTTGCTCTACAGACAAGTGTGTTCATGACTATACATAAAAAGCAGAATAATATAACAAGAAAATATCAGTATCATTAAATATAGATAAATCACTCATGTGCATGTTTTACAGTTCATACATTCAGTCACTGTTATCTTTTTCTTTGCTTTGTTGGTCCAATTCTCTAGGTGTGAAAAATAAGAGTTGTTTGGAAAAAATCATGAACTTAGGAGGAAAAAGAACAGGGAAAAACAGATGACTATGGCTCAGTTATACCATAGACAAATTTAGAGTAAAGCTCAAAGTATTCTGTCAGATGATTCCCATCCTATGTACCACAAGATTTATTTTAAATCCGATACAGAACTTCTATTAGTAAAACAAATCGGTTCAAACTTTTATTTATCCCCTCAGCTGTAAAGTTTTTAGATTTAGGGTAGATTTGTATTGTTCAATGTGTCTTTGTGTATTATGTTTGATGCTTCTATGCTCCAACCAAATTGTTTTCTGGAAATGAATAAAGACTTACTGGCTGACTTTCAGTTCGCAGCATCAAGCAATGGAAAAAAGCAAAGCAAAATCAATGGAAGTCTTGAGCCAAAAAGATTCCAGTGTCGTACATGAAGAATAAGGTCAATATCTTAAACATATTGTAATGTACTGTAAATGTAAATTGATTGATAAACTTTAAATATTAAATTATTTAGTCAGTTAGTTGCAGTCACCAAAATATAATTTTATTTGAAACAATAAAACAAAATAAGAAATCAGATATTTGTTGCCTTTCTTTGAAAAAGTGTATGATTAATATAGAAAATTGTAAGTTAATTGAGCTCATTATAATAAGTTATTAGTATAATAAGTATAACTTTTGTAATTCAATTTGTTAATGTGTAGTATTGTAAGACATTATAATGATAGTTTTAATTAACTGTATGTTTAATTAGATTCAACTCAAAAATTTAAGTCAGCAAATAAAACGTTGCGGTGAACTCAGCAAAAAAAGCTGATTGAACTCTAAATCCACTCAGTTCACACAACACACACTCAAGCAAATTTCACTTATTTATTTACAACATTAATGTTTTATTTATGGATGTTTAATAATTCATTCTCTCTTTTTTTGTTGTTTGTTTGTTTCAGCTAACTTGCAGCAAGTCGTGTTCCCAATTCCCATAAGGCATTTTTTGGCACTTGGCAGTGCAGCCTAGTAAACCACAGGGAAGCTAACGGATTTCCTTCTTCTGTTGGTGAGCCGAGAGGGACTGGAGATCCACCACACTGTAATTGCTCTGTGTCATGGATGTTAATGTCATTACATCCTGCAGCTGATGAAGCCAGTTATGCCGTCTTAATTACATAGGCCTGTGTCACTGTTAATATAATCTAATCTCAGTGGACAACACTCACTTACAGCCCAATCTTATGGTTATATTAAATCATTGCAGTTCCATTAAGGTGAGACACTGGTATGCATAGTACACAGTTTTTTATAATATTTTAAGATTTTTTTGGCTTTCATTTATTGCACTTTAACAATTTGTATCTGTAGATTTAAATCTTTGATGCATACACTCACACCAGTGTGATCAGTATTGGCTGGTTATATTAAATCATTGCAGTTACATTAAAGTGAGACACTGGTAAGCATAGTACTGTTTTTTCATAACAATTTTGAGATTTTCTGGCTTTCATTTATAGCACTTTAACAATTTGTGTTTTTAGACTTAAATCTTTGATGCATAAGTGTATCATAAGACCAGATGCTAAATTCAAATCTGTTTTCCTGCAATGGCTTGTGCTAAATCAGAGATAGAAGCCCATGGTGCTAGTCATAAATTGCAATGCATCAGTGTTTTCAAACTAAACAAATAAAATTCATGCTGATGTTTATGGAGACTGCAATTATGATTATTTTTAAACATAATCAGATGCACACTGTTTAGGAAACTCGAATGTTTACTCTATTACTCTCCTAGTTAAACAGCCCCTTACTTTCATGTATTTCTGACAGTTTGATGAATTAACATGTTGTAAATCCAGCAGCTCAAATCTCTCCTCTGCATCTCAGACTAACATTGCGTAAGCCATCATTTATTCAAATAATATGATCATTATTAAGCTGTTTTAATGTTCTTAGACAAATTTGTTAATACGAATAAGAATAAGAATAAGAATAAGAAATTTAACAATATAATTAGGATATTTGACAATATTTACATAAAAGGGAAAAACCAATGTACTATATGCATAAATCATTGTGATGCAGTGTGTCTCACAATAAACTTGACATGTTACCATGCAAACATAAAGTGATGATTTCTAAATAATGGTTACTTTGAAAAAACAGTTGGGACAGTGTTAAAACTAGCAAGTAATTTTTTATTATTATTATATTTTGTGTGTGTGAATTAAGTGCTTACATTCACTAGACAGTTGTATCCTTGTCTATATTCTGAAGGTTTTATATATTATTGGTATTCATATCACAATTTTTTTTAACTTAAGTTTATTCAGTGCTCAGATCCTACATTGCTATGTGTACAATTTAGGAAACTTTGTGATTGTAGCAATGTAGGAAAATTTGCGGTTATGTCACCCATTAGGGTCATGCTATATACAATAAGGTTTTATTAGTTTATAACGTAATTAGTTACGTAAACTAACATGCATAAAGAACAGTCATTAATCATAGTTCAACATTTACTAATGCATTATTAAAATCCAAATTCTGGAATGCTTGTTAATGTTAGTTAATGCATTGTGATTAACAAGAACTAACAATGAATGCCTATATTTTCAATAATTAATGCTAACACAGAGTAATAAACACTGTAAAAAAATACATTGTTCATTGTTTGTTCATTGTAAAGGCTTGACTAGGCTAATTAAGTTGGGTTAATTAGTCAAGTCATTGGACAACTTGTTCTTCAGCAATCAAAAAACATCTTGCTCTGTGAAACATTCCTTGAGAAATATTTTCGGAAAAGAATTACATTTCACAGAAGGGTTAATAATGTTGCCCTCCACTGTAATCAATCAGCCTGTGGAAGTATGGTGATAATAACTATTAGTTAATCTTTTACTGTGTTACTCTGCAATTTCCCTAATTCAAGTCACTGCAGTCTCTGTATAAATATCAAATTTGTAGACTGAATACAAGCACACACATTTAACTGGAACAGTGTGAACAGCCAAATTCATAAATGCTGATGTTGTGCAATGCATTGCATGTAATATAGATGTGAGTACAGAATGCATTTATCATTTATTAACTCATGCAGTCTCTGCCATTCACTTGGGTATTGTGACCAATTCAGTTGTTGATGCAATCTTCAGATTCCCCATGGCTTCAGTTACAGTATGTGATTCATTCCAAAAGAAAATATTTCATGAACTGAAATGTTGAGTGAGGGTTATTATTGAAAACACATCTTTACAGACATTCATTCTGGGTAGAATTTGAGTTTCATCAGATGTGATGTTAAAATCATTGTGACTTACCGTAAATGAGTTAACTGCCAATTTGTTCACACTACACTCCAAGCAATTGCTTAGCTTTATAACCCTGGTTTCAAATATGGGCAAACCCAATGTTTGGATTAATCTCTATTTGACCCAGAACTGGCTTGATATAATCTAGCATTTATTAGAGGGTAGAATACCCATTAGTTGATCTTAAATGTTGAAAAATGCTTTAACAATTGACAAAATATGTTGTTGGGTAGTTTACTCCAGCTGATCAATTGTCTGTTTATGAAGCTTTGAACTGTTTATCATTTTTAAGTCATTTAATAGACTCCTCTAAATATTTATTTTATCAGCTTAACTTGTAACAATAATCTTACATAGCTACATATGTGCCGCCTGTAGCAAGCAAGCTGGTAATAATGGTACGGTCTGCGCACGGCTTCAAGTTTACCCAGTCACTCGCTCTTCAGAGTAACGGCAACCGGGAGCGCGCGCAGTGATGGTGTTGAGAAAGCGATCAAGATCCGCGTTGACTTTCTCCTGCTGACATTACAGAGAGTGTGTTCATTTGTTAGTAGGTCTGTCCGAGACACGTTTTTTCAGTCAGCACTGCAGTTTTACAGTACCAACAGGACTTACCAACAGGGATTCACTGCGCTCTGCTGGCTCTGCGTTACAGCCATGGGTTCAGTGTGAGTGAAGAGACAAAAGACTTTTGGATATATATCATATATGTTTGGCTTTTGGTGTGTTTCTCAAATGCAAACGGAAATATGTGGCAAAGCTTCGTCCTACTGTTAACCGGTTTGCTTGGGTTGTGCTCATGTTCAAGTTTCCCAAGTAACATCAACATAGGTGAGTACTCGGCGTCTATTGTTTATAATCGCGTCCCTAAAGTTTCCGTTGCACAGAATAAGGTATTTTCGAGGTCATTTACGTTACGATGTTCACATTCTGCTTGTATTTTCCCTCAATTACTCTTTCTGTAATCTCGACAGGAGGTTTGTTTCCAACCGACTCCCATGAATACGATGTGTTCCGTTTCGCGCTCTCGCAGCACAATGATGTCCCTAAACTGGTACCACAAGTGGACATGGTGGACACGGGGAGCAGCTTTGCTATGACATACGCCTGTAAGTTGTGTATTATTGTTTATCCTCGAGGTCTGTTACTCTTCCCAAAGCCAAACATCTGCAGTGCGCACGCGACCTGTTTCCATCACGCTTGTTGCTCTGCTGAATTTCCGTACGACTTTGCACAGATGATTTATGCCATTGTACGCTTAGCGAAGTAAAACCCCAGACATTTTGTTGCTGTCTTCACTTATACAGTCTAAAACTCAGCTGGATTACTGTCACGATTAACGTCAAGATGTCAGGTGGAACTGCAAAGCTGGCAAAATGTCCTGGAACACCTGAGGTTGAATCTGACACAAGCCAGTGGTGTGTTTCACAATTTCAGGGGCTTCTTGTGCCACATTCGTTTCATTTTAGATTCAGACTTGTGCTTTTTACGTGTTTAGTAAACAAAGGTGCATTTATTATGTTTATTTACAATGTAAATGCATCGTAATTTTAATAGAAATGTAATAAAATAAAAACAAAACAAACCATTACTATTGACTGTACAGTAATATACAGTATTATATGCATTATCATATTTTATAGTGCTAAACAACATCTTTAAGACATTATAAATACAATATTTTTTAATGTTTTTGGCAACTAAGTAGGATTAACAGCTTTAAATAATTCAGTTTATTATATTTATGTGAGTAATGTATGCAAAGGTATGCACAATGTGTTGTTTATTTCACTAATTTTGTCTTTAGTTTATTTCTGTTGAAACATCGCCTGAAGCATTCCCACCACCTTTTTTAACAGCAAATTTCTGGCACTGCAGTTGTCATATTTAACATGTTTTTATAGCATATTTGCAGACAGCATATTTTTCTGTCATAAAATAGAATATTAACCATATTCCTGTACATAGCTAATATGAACAATTTTAGACAAGCCGAACAGAGGAGACATCCTCATTCATGGCTCAGCTGGCTGTCAATCACAAATCTTGCCCTTTAATGTCTGAGACTGACACAGGCAACCTCTCCATGCTCGTGTTTAACTCTGCCAGCGACATACAACAGTACATCCACTCTTCAAAAATAAAGGTTCTTTACTGGCATTGATAGTTCCAGGAAGAACCTTTTCATTCCAGTTTTTTTTTAGAATCATTTGAAAATCTTTTTACTAAAAGGATCTTTGAGGAATCTAAAAAGGGACATCACAAAGCCTCTTTTACCTGGCACCTTTATTTTTAAGTGTCTATGGCTGATTATTTAAACAGCTTCTAATAAAGAGATATTTCAGATGTTTGAGATACTTTGACGCTTGCACAGTGGACCAATCACCCTGACAGGTTCACATGGGCTATAGTTTCTCCCAGATGAGTACTTGTGATAAACCTCTCTCATGTTGAGCTCTTTTTAGTGAGTCTCAGTGCCTCAAAGCAAGAGTATGCTGTTTAATGGTGGCTGAGCACTAAATCTAGGGCTGGAGCAGTGTTTTTCATTTTAGGGCAGTCCTTAGGGCGATTTTATAGGGTGACATCGTAGAGTGTCTTGTTAGAGGAAGGCTATCAAAGGAAAGTTGAACACACTGTGTAAGAGCTGATTCTGTATGTTCTTGTCACGGGGAAGTGTGAAAGTAATTATATGGAGCTAATTACATCTGTAGAGAGTTCGCTCATCAGGGCGATTGTGCATGGCTGCTGTCTTATCCCTTTAATCGCTATATACACCTTCCAGAACAAAACCAGAGAGCACTAGAGCCAGAAAGGGCAACACATTTCAGTTTGATTATAATTTTTCTTCCTCTGCCACAAGAACAATGAGTGAGGCTTTAAGAAGCAGAACAAAAGAAAATCAGCGTTTTTGTCGCTTGATTGATATGTTTAAGAGAACTGTGCTTGCCATTGTGTTTTTGTTTGTTATTATGAAGGAAAACATAAAAAGCTTAAAAAGATGCACTTGCAATAATTGCAGTGATACTGAGAGACAATTTTATAACATGAAGCCCATATGGTTCCATTATTTGGACAAACATTGACCAATCTAATAAATTATTCAAAGTTAAATTATTCAGTTTAAGTAAAAAAAATGAGCTTAGACAGCCGCTGATGATATTTAAATACTTATTATTATTTAAAAAAATTTATTTATTTAATATTTGCATTTTAAGCGATTATTTTGGATGATAAATTAAGTGCATGACTAATTTTTGTTTCTGAAAGAAAGAATAAACATACTCTAGGTGTAGTATAAAATTGCTCAACGCCAACCTCAATTTTCAGTTGCTGAATATGAACAATATCTACAGCGGAAGCACAGAATGTAAAACAGTGGTTAGATCAGCAAAGCGTTACCATTTAAACCCTTTCACAAGTATTAAATACTCCTGCTGACCCACCAGTGTGAGTTTTAGAGTGTGACCATTAATTAGAAGGCAGAGCTTTAAAGTTTACATAGTGACACATTAGTTTTATTACATGACACACCACAGCCTAAAGGTCTCATTTATATACTAAATGGGCAGAAATTGAACCTCTCTAAATCATCATGAGCCATTTTTTATTAATAAATATAGTAAAACTTGGTGACACTGTGGCTCAATGGTTTGCCTCATAGCAAGAAGGTCATTGGTTCGAGTAGTTTGCATGTTCTCTCTGTGTTGCCGTGGGTTTCCTCCAGGTGCTCCGGTTTCCCCCACAGTCCAAAGAAATTTGCTGTAGTTGAATTTAATAAACTAAATTGGCTGTAGTGTATGTGTGTGAATATGAGTGTGTAAGTGTTTCCCGGTACTGGTTTGCAGCTAAAAGGGCTTCTGCTGTGTAAAACATATGCTGGAATAGTTAGTGGTTCATTCCACTCTGGCAACCCCTGATGAATAAAGGGACTAAGTCGAAGGAAATTAAATGAACAAATGAATATTTAAACTTGGTCTATATTTACTTTTAAACATTTTTTATGGCGATGCAGTGGTGCAGTAGGTAGTGCTGTCGCCTCACAGCAAGAAGGTCGCTGGTTCGAGCCTCAGCTGGGTCAGCTGGTGTTTCTGTGTGGAGTTTACATGTTCTCCCGTCCCAGCGTTTGCGTAGGTTTCCTCCTGGTGGTCCAGTTTCCCCCACAGTCCAAAGACAAGTGGTACAGGTGAATCGGGCTAAATTGTCAGTAGTGTATGAGTGTGTGTGGAGGTTTCCCAGAGATGGGTTGCAGCTGGAGGGGGCATCCGCTGTGTAAAACATATGCTGGATAAGTTGGTGGTTAATTCTGCTGTGGCGACCCTGGATTAATAAAGGGACTAAGCCAAAAAGAAAATGAATGAAAGTTTTTTTTATGCAAATTTTTATAAATCAGACCCCTGGTGATTTAAGCATATATTGTTTTTTGTTATTTTTTCCATTTTTGTTTGCAAATATTGACATGTTTTATTTATTATATTGTGAAATATTTGATATTTTGATTGTCAGATATGTGTAACAACATAAGGATGGAGGCTGACATATTTACAACATGCTAATTCCTCATCTTCTTCAGACATACAGCTAAAGTCAGAATTATTCTCCCCCCTTTGTTTTTTTTAATGATGTTAAAACAGGACATTTTCACAGTATGTCTGATAATATTTTGTCTTCTGGAAAAAGTTTTATTTGTTTTATTTTGGCTAGAGCAAAAGCAGTTTTTAATTATTTAAAAAAACAGTCTACAGAACAAACCATCATTATACAATAACTTGCCTAATTTCCCTAACTTGCCTAGTTAACCTAATTAACCTACTGTAGTTAATCCTTTAAATGTCGCTTTGTTGTATAGAAGTGTCTTGAAAAACATCTAGTCAAATATTATTTACTGTCATCATGGCAAAGATAAAATAAATCAGTTATTAGAAATTAATTATTAAAACTATTATATTTAGAAATGTGTTGAAAATATATTTTCTCCGTTAAACAGAAATTGGGGGAAAAAATAAACAAGGGGGCTAAAAATTCAGGGGGGCTAATAATTCTGCCTTCAACTGTATGTGGACACTGTATAAGTGGTTGTTTAACTTATGACTTATGGAAGAATAGTGTAAACATTCTAGTAACCTAATTATTGTGCATATGATGTGAATAATGCACATTGTCCATAAAGTTGTAAAATAATTATCATTGCTATTGCCATAGTCATCAGCATGTATTTTACAAACCACAAATGCTAATATTATTTGATCCATGAGCGGTGATGGGTGTCATTACATAGTCTGTGCTGCATAGGGGAGATTAGAACTGCTGGATTTTCAACATGTTAATTCATTGACTTCTCCAAAAATACATGACATTGGCTGTTTAACTAGGGGAAGAAAAGGGTAAACATTATAGCTTACACACTAAACAGTGTGTACAGTAGCTGATGCAAATAAAGCATGTCATTTGATTTACAGTGAAGTCAGAATTATTAGCCTCCCTGTTTATTTTTTCCCCAATTTCTGTTTAGAGATTTTTCCAACACATTTCTAAACATAGTAGTTTTAATAACTCATTTAATTTATTTTAACTTTGTTATGATGACAGTAAATAATATTTTACTAGACACTTCTATACAGCTTAAAGTGACATTTAAAGGCTTAACTACTGTAGGTTAATTAGGTTAACCAGGCAGGTTAGGGAAATTAGACAAGTGATTTAGGCACAATGGTTTGATCGGTAGACAAAAAAAAATAAAAAAAAATATATATAGCTTAAAGGGGCTAATAATTTTTTCCTTAAAATGTCTAAAAATGTAAAACTGCTTTTTTCTATACCCGAAATAAAACAAATTGGACTTTCTAAATATTTAAAAAAGAAAAAGAAAATTAAAGGGGGCGTATTAATTCTGACTTTAACTGTATGTTTAAAATATATTTTTTACCATCTCCATAAACATCAGCATGTATTTTACAAACCATAAATGTTATGTTTTGCTAGTACTTACATCTATTTGAAAGTGTTAAACTTAAAATAAACATCATTTTTTTGAAAACACTGATTAATTGTGATTTATGATGCAGCACGTCTTTCTCTGACTCAGCGTGAGCCATCATGGAAAAGGAGATCT